TTTACTTTCGAATAAAATCCCGAGCGGGGTTGGCAATTGTTTTTGGCAATAAATGTTGTTGAAAACTGGTCTTTCTGCCAGAACCTGGCCTATATTATTATTCACCAGAGTGAAGTCAAGTATCTGGACTCGAGCACGACATAAGGTGAACGATAGGTCTTTGATGCAGAAAATTGTATTTAATAGTTTCACAGTTTGTTAATAATATTTTTGACACCTGCTTGTGAAACAAATAGTTAAAGTTAAAGTAATTCTTTCTCGTAGTACTAGTCTTAAACTCGGTCACGTTTCGAATCTTTATTTTTTAAGTAATAAAGTCGTCTTCGTAATTAAAATTATGTATCTACAGAGAGTCCCACTTAGGATGGATTCTTTCGTAGGTCTGGTGTCAATAATACAAAAGATGTCCCAAATAATAATCGCAAATTCTTTATATTTGTAAATTAGTTTCAATTATTCAGGGTGTTATATTTCTTCTGGGTGTTATATAACTTCATTATATTTTTAATGTACAGCTTTGATGTTTTTAAAATACCTAGTTGATGTTTGCAAACTCTTCCAAAATATGAAATTTGCACCTATCCACAAAACGGTGGTAGACACATTCATAAATTTCTCGATACAAGATTCAAAGATACCTCTTTCGCACACTCCAGATCTCCTCAGGTACACCTAAATCTTCATTAGATTCCATTACAGAGTTTTCAGCAAATTGAACCACAATCACAAATGAACTCACTTAGCAATATGGCGACTAATGTTTGACAAAGTATGACATGACTACATCGATATATCCTACTTACCTACTTTGCTTTATTATTCAAATTTGATTTGAATAATTTTGATTTTTCAGAAATGGTTGAATTTTGGACATACGTTTACAAAATAAATATATTTTATTTTCACATGATCCCGAAATTATCAAGATAATAACTGTTACAGTCTGTATACAAAACATAAAAATCCGTGATTGTAAACTTTGAATATTCTAGGTGTTATTTAAAATTTCATTTTTGGTACTGGGAAAAGCAAACAGGAAACATACGGGCCCTATTTCAATGACACTTATTAATGGTACACTAGATCGGCGACAAGTTATTTTCCAACATTTCGACAGTCAATCTCCAATTTCAAAACAAAATTAATAGTTCTCACCTTGCTCAGAATATGTTGGGAATATTTTAGACAAGTTTGTTAATGATTGCGACTACCTATCATTTCTGGTTAGCCAGTTTAATCTCAGATTGTTATCTCTCAAGGTACTAATCAGAGCCAGTTAAGCGAACATAATTGCATTAAAAAATGTAATTATTAGTTCCATTATACGTCCGAGTCTTAATTAAAATGGATTAATCGAAACATTTCACGAGATATCTCGGTAGAATTGCTGTTATAAGTGCAAGGTAATCTTTTTAAATGCCGTGATTTTTACATGAGTTGGTCATCATTTAGCTATTGAAAATTGTAACAGTTTATATTTATAAATGTCTTTATAGCCTATTAAAATATTTTGAACATGACATTGCTATGCGATGTGCTAAGTATATTTAAGACACCTTTGCAAAAAACTGAAGAAAAGTTCAAAAAATTAATTTGCAAATTGCAAATTGCAAATTTCAAATTCATTTGCAAGAAAGTCACTCTCTTCATATAGACATTATATTAGGAAAAAAAGAAGAAATAAAGTCCTACCACACATGCTATTGCAATTCTAATAATACCTTTAAGTAAAATAAAAAAAGGAGGTATGCGTGTATTTTTAGTGCCTTGCAATGGTCTTTGTAATTACCTTTCTTTAAAATTATACAGTATAGCCTCGTTAATCTTAAGAAAATGTGATAAACTATATTCCTAATATTTACGAACTATTTTTGTTTACAATTTACAAATTGGAGAAGGTTAATATTAATAGACCATTGAATTGTGACTATTTGTACAAGAAACACATGATTAGTTTGTCAAAGAAGTAAAAAACGAAGAAGTGATGGACAAAGCACCAATATAAAATTAGTGAGACTGACTTTTACTATTATAAGATTTTCACCTATCTGAACAATTTGTTATATTTTTTATTTAATTTTAACACTGTGGTATCAATATACGTTTTTTCCTGAATACTTTTCTGTAAAGATAAGAAAAAATTACTTAAATCGTGCATTCCTGGGAAATATAAAAAAAAAATCAAAATTGAACACTTATGTTATGAAATATGAAAGGCAGAATGTAATTTAAGATATAGCAAATTCCAAAAATGTTTGTTGTACCTATTATTATGCTCTTCAAATATAATAATGACTAAATATATAAAATTACGAGGCTGACTTTATAGTTATCAGAAAAACAGTTACATAACATCAAGTATCGTCGTCTGAGTTGAGAAACCGGTTATTTCATTCAAGATATTTTACACGAAAAGATAAAACAGTATTTTTCAGTTTCAAAACTGTTTATGTCAATAGACAAATTTAAATTAATATAAATTCTATCTCTCAGTAACTTCTCATCTTCTCTAATGCACGTATAAAACATGAAACATAATCAATAATTTACATATTCCATAATGCTGTACTATTTTCTTATACACACTTTTAATATTAACATAGTTATATATTTTTTATTTTATATTATAATATATCTATATCTAAAAACACGTAAGACGTTTTTCTGTAGCTCTGGTAATATTAATAATACAAACATTTTTGAAGAATGAAGTTAGATAACAACCAAAAGAATGTCACGCCATATATAATTGAAAGCAATTTTAAAATTTCTAGCTCATTCCGATGTATGTACCTCAGGGTTCTATTCTGGGACCATTATATGTGTATTTATAAAAAGCATAAGTATATTATCTTGTTTGTTTTATGCTGAGGATATGAACATTTTCACTACCGTCAAAACCTTGAAGACTGTAGGCGACTTAATGTTACAAAGTGTAAAATTATGTTATTTACCTGCAAATTATCCCCTCTAATTGTATGTTATAATAAAAATAACATAAACTTACAAAGACCAGCCACCTTCCATCATCTGGATTTGATTAGAAATTTTCATTTTACGAAGTAGTCTCGATTTTGTTGATATAAAACTTTAAAAACCCTTTCTCTACCCTTGTCAGAAATGAACTAGAATATAACTTTTTTTATTGGTGTCCCAATTATTACATTCATATAAATATTCAACCAAGATTTTTTAAAGTGCTATATTTAAAATTCATGATGTAGAATATCCTCAGTGCAGTTTTTGTTACTCTTTTGTTGCTATTTCCTCACTCAGTGCTGGACGAGAATAGTTTCCTCGATATTTTATACCATAGTCTTTCCGGCAGAGATTTTCGCTATTTTGATGGTGGCAATTAAGGACGGATATTTCCCCAGAAACAAGATCCGCCCTTGTTCAGGAGTGTGAAAATATTCTGGAGCTACTGCTCAGAAGAAAATAGGTAGAGTTGGTTTGGGTTCCGGGCCTTATGGGTATCCCTGTATTCAGGGGGCCTGGTCAGGAACCTGAACCATTCTTCGGAATCACACGAGGTAGCATTAACTAGGCCCTCAGTAAATGGGCCCATCAAACATTAGGTCATTAGGTAGGCCCATAGCTTTATACATGGGCCTAATAAACCTAAGACGAGATGGCTGCTGATCCTGGATTGGAGCCCTAAACCAAATGGTGGAGATCATGCCCGAAATGTGAAGAATGGGAGGATACCCCTATCCATTCTTTGGGACATTGCGCAGCCTTCGGGAGGTTGAGGCATAAAATGAGGAACCTTCCATAGATCACAATCCTGGATTTCATCAGGGCGTCAGGAAAGTTCGAGAAGTGTCACAGGCAGACGTGGGATAGGTAACGGGAAGACAGGGCACGTAAAAAGGGCTCACTTGTGGCCTAATTGCCAGGGTGAGGCCGCCCCAATAACTTACTACTCCTTCCTGGAGATTTTTCCTCGTAAAATTGTGCACAGTTTTCTTGATTACCCATCCATACTGACTAAACTGAATCTATTACTTGCATAGGAAAATTCTCGACAATTATGGACATTTCACGTGGAGAAAGTGCTAATAAATTTGTTACAACATTTTTCTTTACATTTGTGAAGATTTCATAACAAGTCTACAGTGATATTGATTTATTTTAGACTATTAAGTCTTAAATCATATTTTAAGCGTTAGTATTATTAGTTTCTGTTAGAATGACTTTTTTGTTAATGATAGACGCAGTGCAAGGGTCAGTTTAATATTTATGCAAGTTGTAAATTGATACTTTTCCTTGTTTTTGAATTGCTTGTGTAACACTGACATGCGATTGGTTAAGTTTCGTTCTACGAAATAAGTTTAATATTTGTGTCAAACGTATTTTTGTAAAGATCTATTAAGAAAATATGTGCCCGAATATAGTAACGTCCTTTGTCCAAATATATTTAACTTTAAAAGTTTTTACTAGTTACAGGATGACTAAATTTTGAAAATTACTCTTCCTTCCTCTGAAACACTTGTTGACAATAATCTAGTTCATCGTAACTGAACGAAAATGTGAAAAATCGGCCATTATAGGTGACAAAAAAATGTTTTGAAACTATAAACAGCAAATTATTTCCATAAAATCGCCCATTAGCTTTTTAAACGGATTGGAGCGGGTATCTGGTTTAAAACAAAAGTTCGCTGTCACAATCAGAGTTCACTTTTTTCCAAGGACACTGATGCAATCCCAGTACCTTCACAGTTGAAAACAAGCTGTAACGAAATCCTCCGGAAGAAAAACTGAACCTTGAAATCTAATTTTGCAGCACTTTGCGTAATTATCACCAGTTGCAATATAGAACGAATCAGTTGAACGTGCTTCCAGACCAGGGTTGGTAACGCGCCAGTCTCCCTTTGGCATCCTATTTCTTTGACCGGGCATCCACGCGTCTGCTATCTGCTGTTAATAAAGGACAACTGTAGGAATACACACACACTCGCACATGTGATAATTATAGCGCTACAGACTTAATATAACTCTCCCATACTTCGCGTTGGGCTGTACTGTGGAAATAGAGCACTTTTACGAAAATCCGTCAAAATATCGGGTCGATCGCGGGAGTGTGCGAATTGAGTGAAGTGCGGATGGGAAAATTGTCCTGGAAATCCGTTTCCATGTGGCTAGGATGAAGGATATCTTCGATTGTTTTCGAATAACGCAAAGGTAATAAAATTTACAGAAATAGATCGGATACTGAATAAAAAGTTGTTTGTTTTCTGCTGCCAATTGATTTCTAACGTTGGTCTGGGTTTATTTTCGTTCCAAATGAGTTTTCGCCTGAAAAATAATTAGTAGGTATCTACAGTGAAAATATACAGTTATGAATTTTTACTTATTTTAGAAGTATGTACTAAGCTAGTTCTATAAACTTTTCTATCAAAAAATCTTCTAAATGTTCTTTAATATGAATCCTCAATGTATGCAAAACATATCTAAACTCATGAGACGTTGATTATTAATAATTGTCTAAAATAATAACTAAAAATGATATAAATAATTAAATAACGTATAGAAAAATAATGCAAAATAAAAAAGCCTTATAAAAGTTTTGTGTTTTATACATAACTAAGTTCCTAATATTTACATATTAATTTCAAAGAAGACCACTTGAAAGTGCCTTACTAAGGATGCAGAAATAGCTGAGATCGATATATCGCTGTTATAATAGCCCAGGGATATAAGGAAAATGTCGTGACTGTTGAGTAGCCAAGGATCTGTTCAATTATTTAAATGTTAACATATTAATAAGAAAAAAATTGAACCTATATCTATAACTCCGAAAATGTTGATAATTAAGATTTTTTTTTGGTAAAAGTTTAAACAAAACTTAGTTAATTGCAATATTAATTTATTAAAAAATGATATTTAATCATTCCTATAATGTTTCATTACAAAAAATTACAAAACATGTTGATATTTTGCAGAAAAAAATTTGTTTTTTAATGTTTAAACAAATTACTGGATTAATTTAAATTTTTATTTATTAACAAAATGCATATTTTGATGTACGCAAGAAGGTACCCCAAATTAAAAAAAATATCAAAATCGGTCAACAAGATATAACTTGCTCTATCAATTTGCTCGTGGATTTGTAGGTTCCCCCTCCACTGACTCTCACAATCAGTCATCTTGTATCGAAGTCATTATTTGGAGCATTCTCAGAGATGCTGTTACAAAGCTATCGTCCTCAAAAATTTCACATAGAAAATGTAGCTCTTTATCTTCGAAATGGCACTTATTAGAAGTCTTAATTGTTATAAACAAAGTAGCTGTGATTTTTTTTAAAGTGTCTAACTTTGCCACAAATTAAGTTAGAGCAACTTTTTTTTTTTTTTATTTGTGTAAAAATACCAGCTTTACGAATATAGAAAAATAATCTCTCTAAATATCAACAAATATCAACAAATTTATTCTAATTGTTTATAAGACAAAAATGACAGTGTTTTTGTGGTACGTTTTTGCAGTGGTAAAAAACAATTTTTTTGCAATAAAATAATTTCTTCCAATAAAAGAAGTATTTCTCTTTCATATGACACCCGCAGATTTAAAATATCTTGGTAATTTTGCATGTCAGGTTACTGCAAAAATAATGTCTCTTGGATAAACATTTAGAATTTTGCAAAAACTATTGGATGAATCGGTCTGAAATTTTAATCACATATTAAGGACTATAAAAGCCAACTGTTTATGCAATATCAAAGTCGTAGGTTGACTTTTGCAAAACTTATTGTTTATTTAGCAATAATCGAATTATGACAGTTTTTTTGCAATTTCCCGAGCAACAAATTATCGTATCGGATTTTAAAAATCGCCATTTTAAAGGTTTTGTTGCTGGTTACTTTCACATTATAATAAAAATTATAGTTTTTTTCTGGTAGGCAAAAAAGTGAAAATTTGGGTTATTTTAGACCTTTTATTGTTAGTGATTAAAAAAACTCATCTAATGGTGTGCGGGTTTTTGCACATACTAAAATTCACCCAAATTTTATGAAAAACTTTAGAGATCCTTGGCTACTCAACAGTCACCACCAAGTCATTTATTTTCCTCATCTCCCTAAACTATAAATGGTACAATCGTGTACAATATTTGATCCCTTAAGGAAAAATATTTATCCATTTTTTATGTTGCAAACAAAAGTAGGTGATGAGTATTACAAGACTATTTAATGATTTAAGTATATTTTATTTTGTAATTTATCACCTCGATAACTTGTACAAGTAAATACAACTATAGAAAGTGAATACAAAAATCTGGCGTAGGTAATTAATTCTCTTAAGTGAGTTAACAAGTTTTTTATCTTTTCATAATCTTTTGTTCCAAAGAATACACAAATTCGCGTCTGTAATATTTAACTTTGATGTTTAAATAATGATCAGGTCAAATTTGGGCGACATGCTGTTTAAAATACAATTTTGCAATGTTGAGCAACTTTTATTAAAATGTCAAATATGAGAAGACATCTTTATGAACGACCATGGCATCAAAAACGTTAATCTCAAATTAATTTAATGTTTTGCATTCTACAACACTACAGAGCTCAATTCGTAGAAGCGTAACTAGAATTAATTGCACTTTTTCTGCTACTTTTACTGATAAATCGTCACTTCTGGGCATAATTAATTTTCCAAAATTGCATCGCAGACTTAAACGTTCCAGTTGGACTAATATTTGAGGTTTTATAGAAATAAATACGCATGGTTAGGCATCCTATACCGACGAATCCCATGGCAGGTATAAAAATCACGTTTGTACTCACAACCGTTGTACAATGTCATTACAAAAATGATAACAATACTTTTTGACCTTCCCAGCGATTCATAGTCGTGCATGTGTGAGTGTCGGCTCCCCATCTACACAGCCTACTCGATCGTCCGTCCTTATCTCGCACACGAGAAATTACCTGCTACCTGTTAATTATATATTTGTTTCATTATACTTCGTACTCTTTTTTTCAAACACCGGTACGTCACACGCTGTCACACAACTTTTTATTCAGTCTACCTTTAACTTTGCAGTGATAACACGATTCAATTGTGGTCTATTACAGAAGCGCGTCCACGAAAATGTGATTAAATGGAGGAAATCAGACACCGCGACAGGAAAATGAAAAAGTTCATCACCAACAAAATCAACAAGCAGCACTGGAGGGTGACGGTACCGAATCTCAACTCTTCCCTTTTCCGAAAGTCTCCTTTCAAGGATGAAGACAAGTCGGATAAGGAGTCCAAGAGATCCTCTGGTTTCTACGACCTACAGGAAGCTCAATTGGAGTACGACAAAACCAGGAGCTTACCCAACAGCGTCTACGTAGATACTAGTTCTTCTGAAGACGAGGGCGACTTTGAAGATGCCAGGGCCATGTCTGATAGAAGCAGCAATAATATAAACAAAGATAACAGCGACACAGACCTCTATGTCGATGTGGAGTCTGGTCAGAAAATAGAATCCTCTAATTTAGATCTGAACAACGGTAAGTTTGAATACGACGTGCCAAGGATAAGCTTCAAATTCTTTGATAAAAACAAGGAAGAACTGTCTTCTGATGAGGCAGCAAAAGAAGATTTATACGACAACGAGCAAACAAACTATGAACCAGTCAACGTCAAAGTTGTCAAAAGTCAAGTTCAGATCGTGCTGTCGTCACCATCGGAAGAAGAAAAGCTCCAGACCGAAGAAGAAGAAATGCCAAAGAGTCATCCAAGTGAGAAATTCGTGAGTCAAACCGAGATTTTCGTGAGGAGTTTAGAAGACATCCCTCTAGTGATAAAATCTGCTGGAAGTGATCCCAACCTTGTTCTGCGCGAACACGACGACGATGACGATGACCCTAATGATGGCTACTACAAAGTACCTAGGTCCCTAAAGAAAACTCACAGATTATCTCAGTCACTCAATGACTTCGATTTTGAGAACATCGAAGAAATTCCCAAGCTACAACCCTCCGATCACTCCAGCATCGAACACATTTCAGCAAGTCAAATCAATTTGCAAGACAATTCGCAATGCAATGGAAAGGATACAGAACCCAGCGAACAAAGGACGGATACCGAGAGCATGGAATATTGCAAGGCTAGAAGTAGACTTCCAATCCGATTAAGACGACCCAGTCTGCTGAAGAAACCCAAGAAGGCTGTGGATACGTGGAACAACTTCAGGTCTAAATTCAACAACCTGATGTTGGAACACGCTGCTCATCAGCGGGTCGGGGCTTTTACCGAAAAAGAGAAGGTAACTATAAACTTTGAGGAGATGTACAAAAACTCCAAGACCAAGTGCAAGAAAGTTTTCCAAAATACCGGAAAGATATTCCAGAAGGGCAACAAAAAGACACAGGACAGTTTCGATAGTGAGAAGGGCAGTTGTGTGTCTGTCGCGAAAAATAACGTGTCTCCGGAGAGGGTGGAACTGAGAGCTAGTGATATCGAGTACATTTTAAATACGAGTGATAGTAACGAAGTTGTTGAGAACGGACAGTGTTTGAGTGACGAAAGTAAAGTGGACGATAGCAAACTGACGAATGATAGTAGGACGACGCCCGATGAGAGTAAGAAAGAAGAATTTGACTTTACCTCTATCAAAACTGCTTTTAAGAAAAAGCTGTTTACTCCTGAGGTGAGGCTAGCTATAACTTGTTGCTTATTTTGCCTTTAAAGAATCGAATCCATTCAAGAATAACCAGTATCAGTATTGCTGACGTTTTTGTGAAAATTTTGCAAAGTAATCTTTTAGGTACTTAATACAAAAGAAACAAAAATTAATACGATAAAAAATATGGAAAATTAAAATGTATGTGAGTTTGGACTTTTATAGGAATTTCCAATGATTTTTTTTTTGTTGTAATTTAAACCTACTATTTGATTTTAATACAAAATCTTTCACTATAGAAATATGCTTATATAATCTATAAAATCAATTCACAGTTCTAGACGCAATTAACAGATATGCACAGTAGACACAAATATTTATTTTTAATGTTCTATGTCTATATGTACAGTAAACAAATTCAGATTAGTAGTACTATGTACGCTGCAAATCAACATTTTAAAGCTGAAAAACGAATATTTCGAAAAACTTAAAAAAGTCACAATATCCTGTATACATTTTGAACGAATACGTAGACTCTACACAAAAAGAAACTCTCTGTTTCTTTGATTTTGTACTGCCAGACATCATACTCAACAAATTTCATTAATTACACAGCCACACAAAAAAAATTCTGTAGGAATTTGATGCGGTAGAGACGATCCTGTAGTGCAAATTTATGACTTCACTACAAATTTCGAAGAAATGTGAAATTTTTGGGTGACATTGGTCCAAATATGGGTCAAAACTGTTTTTTTCCTAGATGTTGTCCAAAAATATAATTTTCGTAATATTTTGAGACGCAGAAGTAGATGCCATTAGCAAAATTTACCCATGACCTTGATATTTCTCAGAAAATCCACTATTTGGGTAAAAACTAACCCAAAACCAACCCAACCAAATCTGATTTTTTCCTAAATTTTCTTCAAACATACCATTTTCGTAGAACTTTGAGGCGCTCTAGATGATCCCGTTCGTAAAATTTACCCATGACCTCTATATTTCTCAAAAAACTGGCCCAAATATGGCTCAAAACTGATTTTTTCCTAAACTTTGTCCAAATATACAGGGTGTTCCTAAATAAGTGTCGCAACGGAAAACTGTAAATTCCTCTTGAAAAAAGAAAAATTTTTTTTCCATTTTTCTCTCCGGGCTTTCGTTTTCGAGATACACGGTGTCAAAACTTTAATTTTTTTTTTTGTTTTTCGCCANTTACCCATGACCTTGATATTTCTCAGAAAATCCACTATTTGGGTAAAAACTAACCCAAAACCAACCCAACCAAATCTGATTTTTTCCTAAATTTTATTCAAACATACCATTTTCGTAGAATTTTGGGGCGCTCTAGATGATACCGTTCGTAAAATTTACCCATGACTCTATATTTCTCAAAAAACTGGCCCAAATATGGATCAAAACTGATTTTTTTCCTAGACTTTGTCCAAATATATGATTTTTGTAGTATTTCGAGGCACTGATTCTATTAATAAAATTTACCCATGACCTCTATATTTCTCAAAAACTGGCCCAAATATGGGTTAAAATGATTTTTTTCTAGACTTTGTCCAAAATATACCATTTTCGTAGAATTTTGAGGCGCTCTAGATGATACCGTTCGTAAAATTTACCCATGACATCTATATTTCTCAACAAACTGTCCCAAATATGGGTCAAAACTGATTTTCTCCTAAACTGTGTCCAAATATATCATTCTTGTAGTATTTTGAGACACTGAACACGATGCTATTAATAAAATTTACCCGTGACCTCTATATTTCTCAAAAAACTGGCCCAAATATGGGTCAAAACTGATTTTTTCCTAGACTTTGTCCAAATATATCATTTTTGTAGTATTTTGAGATGCTGAACACGATGCCATTAGTAAAAATTTATCCATAACCTCTATATTTATCAAAAACTGGTTCAAATATGGGTCAAAAATGATTTTTTCCTAAATTTTGGCCAAATATATAATTTTCGTAGTATTTTGGCCAGTTTTCACCCAAATAGTGGGTTTTCTGAAAAATGTCGAAATTATCGGTAATTTTTTCTAATGGCATCGAGTTCAGCTCCTCAAAATACTACGAAAACGATATAGGTATTTGAACAAAATTTAGGAAAAAATCAATTGACCCATACTTGGCCAAATATTCCACTTTTCCCCGAAATTGTATCGAAGTCATGACTTGTGACTACAAGATCGTGTGCAACGAACTCCTTCGGAAATGATATGTGTCTCTCTTGGATTTGGACTTTTTTGTGTGGCTATGTTATCCAAAACGAACAAAATATTTTTTCGTGCTGCTTCATGTACTTATAACACTTAAATTACTTTAATTTTAGTTAACACCTAATCTTCGCCTCAAATAAATACCGGCTTAAATCTTACTATTAAATATAGTAAATTAAATTTTAATCCTTTGCACTAAATTTTATAGTTTTATTGGGCACCTAAAATAAAAAACTAAAATTTAATAGTCCATCAAACAAGTAAATATTTTGAACTATTTCATAGAAAAATATATACATTTTTGGAGCGTCAAAGAATTTAAACAAAACAAATTTCAATTTATTTAAATAAGAGTGCCCGTACCATTTTTTCTTTCCAGAAAACTAATAACGTAACGATAAAACTTATTTTTAAGATTATTGTTACGCCGTGATTTNGTTTTCCGTTGCGACACTTATTTAGGAACACCCTGTATAATTTTTGTAGTATTTTGAGACACTGAACACGATGCTATTAATAAAATTTACCCATGACCTATATGTTTCTCAAAAAACTGGCCCAAATATAGGTCAAAACTGATTTTTTCCTCGACTTTGTCCAAGTATACCATTTTCGTAGAATTTTTAGATGCTGAACACGATACCATTAGTAAAATTTACCCATGAGTTCTATATTTCTCAGAAAACTGGCCCAAATATGGGTCAAAACTGATTTTTTCCTAGACCTTGTCTAGAAATATAATTTTTGTAGTATTTTGAGACACTGAACACGATGCTATTAATAAAATTTACCCATGCCCTCTATGTTTCTCAAAAAACTGGCCCAAATATAGATTTTTTGTTAAACTTTGTTCAAATATATCATTTTCGTAGTATTTTGCCAGTTTTCACCCAAATAGTGGGTTTTCTGAGAAATGTCGAGATCATGGGTAAATTTTATTAATGGCATCGAGTTCAGCTCCTCAAAATACTACGTGAACGATATAGGTATTTGGACAAAATTTAGGAAAAAATCTGTTGGACCAGTTGCACCCAAAAATTTAACTTTTCTCCGAAATTGTATCGAAGTCATGACTTGCGACTACAAGATCGTGTTCAGTGCATCGAACTTCTTCGGAAATGATATGTGACTCTCTTGGATTTGGACTTTTTTTGTGTGGCTATGTTATCCAAAACGAACAAAATATTTTTTCGTGCTGCTTCATGTACTTATAACACTTAGATTAATTTTAGTTAACACCTAATCTTCGCCTCAAATAAATACCGGCTTAAATCTTACTATTAAATATAGTAAAATAAATTTTAATCCTTACACTAATTTTTATAGTTTTATTGGGCACCTAAAATAAAAAACTAAAATTTAATAGTCCATCAAACAAGTAAATATTTTGAACTATTTCATAGAAAGATAGGTATGTACATTTTTGGAGCCTCAAAGAATTTAAACAAAAACAATTCAATTTATTTAAATAAGAGTGCTCGTACCATTTTTTCTTTCCAGAAAACTAATAAAGTAACGATAAAACTTATTTTTAAGATTATCGTTACGCCGTGATTTGTTAACTAAAAAATGTACGTATCTACATTCAATAATCCCTGCTACGTCACTGATATTTACATATGAATTCGCATCATTATGTAATCTGCGATAATTCGCGTTAAAAATACGCATATATTTTGTTATACATTAATAGAGATAAGAGGTACGTCATTATCAGTAGTTATACGCTTATTTTATGTATAGGTACCTAATTAAAGTGTCACTCATTACAGTGTTAGCGGAATTAATACAGATTTCACTACTATGCTATCGCTGAAATAACATGTCATTGCTTTCTCAGTTGCCGTTTACAAAATTGTGTAATAGTTTGCTGAGCTAATAATCGCAATGTCTTCGTAAGCTCTGCATACAGAGGAATGTCAAAATTATAGATACGAGATGTCGTTTTACTTAATTGTAGAAATATTCAAAGAACAATAATTAAAATTGCACTGAGGTAGTTCTGATAATTTACTGATTATTCTATATATTTTTAAAGTGAAAACTCGTGACATTAACCTAAAAAAGTAAAAAAAGGATAGGATGAATCATTCCTGCAGTAGTCATTAAAGCTACTTATTTTTGTACCCATTGGTTTTCCAATATTTACTTCTAAATGAAAGTTGGCAAGCAACTTGTGAAGGAAATATAAATATCAAGAGATTTATTCAATAGTAAATGTATGTCAATACAAGATAAATATCATTGTTAAAGAGAATTTTTTATGTTAACTAATGAAATGCCTTTTTTAAACATTATGTATGGCTAATTTTTATTTATCAGGCTACTTTGACTGAAATATGAAATTATATTTTTTATAACGCTTGTAACTTATAAATAAAAATGGCACACCACCATCATCAGAGTGGCCCTTTTAAGTGGCTATAACTTCCTTAGGAAGAATTTTTGGACCCACGTTTATATAAAGAAAAAGCAATATGTTTCGATATAGATACACTTTGAGAATTTTTATTAAGAAACAAAGATATGTTCTTTTCTTTGTCGCTTATTGAATATGTGCATTATTGATCTGTATCTGTCATTACATACTGTCAAAGATCGGAATCAAGACAATGAAATTATAACATTTTGATAAGTTATGAAAGAATTAGGTAGTAAGTATCAAAAAACAAAGAAATCAGTTTGTGTCAATCTAAACTTAATGTCAAAGAACCCCGCACAAAATCAATGGAAAATGGGTTCTAGTCGATTTTACTAAAATTGCTGTATGTTATAGTTTTCGACTTTCTGATCAAAAGTT